AAATCATTTATAATAATGTTCCCCGTGATAACCAGGTCTTCAGTTGGCGCAAACAATTAAATAGTAAACATTTTATATTTGCAGCTTCACAAATAGCAAAACATGTTCTATTCTAAAATAACTAAAATAACTCCTAGGTGTCTATAAATTATGAGATTTGGAAAATACCAGCAAGTGTCAAAGTACTGTCAAATACTTCCACAGTTATGTTTGTTAACGGTGTAAATTCATGCTTTTTTCTGCATGTGGTTTCTAACATGGCTGGAAATAAATATATTTAAAATGCCAATTTACGGCTTTGAGCGATCACTGGGGTGTGTGCATACCACATGACTCATCAGAGGTAGTTATTTGCTCTGAGCTCGAAAATGGTGAAGAATTATTTTTATCTACTAAGAAACTGACCCCAGGGCTTTTGGTGGGTGTTTGATCTCTTAACCAAAGGGAAAAACAATATGATTTCATTTTCCCTCTCTGAAACACCCTTTTAAGAAGACATCAAGTTGGCAGCAGCTCTAGGAAATCTAACTGACAAATTGGATCTTGGCAAGTAAATCACACTGGGCCACTCTGTCATCACACAAAACTGAGGCATAGAAGGTATGTTTAAAAACAAAAACAAAACACACATGTAAGAAAGGACCCAGGTTAAAATTCAGCAGAGAATTTTATGTGAGCTTGCATTCTGAAATTACGTGACACAACGTATTTACTAAGTGTCAGTTTATAGACCTCAGTTGAAAAAAAAGAAAATCTTTTTGCACGTTCACTTCTACAGGTAAATTAGGTTTGGAAGAGGCAAGTGCTGAATTATGCAAGGTGGTCAGAAAGTCAAGTCTTGAAAAGCTGGCAACTGTGAAGAGGGAGTAAGGAAGTCATGGTCCAAGTGATAAACAGCGCCACAAGAGGGGAGAACAAGAATAGGTTACTACTTAGTTTTTTAAATTATTTATTTAATTTCTGTAATTTGCAAAATTGACATATCTTTTTTACATCATCCTCCCCTTGTGGCATGTGGGATCTTAGTTCTCCAACCAGGAACCGAACCTGTGCCCCCTGCATTAGGAGTGCAGAGTCTTAACCACTAGATTGCTAGGTAAGTCCCTAGAAAAGGTTTTTACCTTTCCAATTTGTGAGGAGTTTTTTGTTTGTCTGTTTTTTATAACTGAGTCTTACTTTTTTAATGCCCAAATGTTTTCATTTTGAAAAACTGCATGAAAACATGGTATAACTTCTCTGACTCCTGGGGGCTGCTTTCTGTATTCAATGGTTCCACGGGGGGGCTTTGATTTTTTGGTAGTAGCTGATTCTGAATTGTATTCTTATTCTCCCCTTGATTATAAACTGTCAGCTGTCATTTCTCACTCTGGCTGAATCCCTCCTTTTATCTTAGAGCCCTCCACCCTCTGCACATTGCTTACTTTAACTAGATATAAACTGGATGCAGATAACTAGGGTTTTCAGATTTTAAGAATTAAATAAAAGCCAGGGTCTGAGTTGAGTAAGGCTAGACCAAGGGCCTGATTAGGGGAGAGTAGCAAGCCTCTGCAGAAAGTGTTTCGATGGCTCAAAGACTGACTCTGGGGGGAGGATGGACTTCGGCTCTGCTCCAGCCTGAGACTCTGAGCTGGAAGTCCGACATTCACCCCCAGTGCGACACTGAAGCGCCTGACATGTGCGCTGCACAGGCGAGACGTCTGGCCCGCAGGGAGACAGCATGGTGTGGTGCTGGTGGTGGCGGTGGGGTGGGCGGTCAGGCCGGGCCTGGGGCTTGAATCCCACTCAGGACCTGTGCGAGGGAGCACCAGTCACATGACCAGTGCCAGTCACGTGACCCCGTGCTCCTTCTGTTGCGTCCACCTGGTGAATAACTGAGCCCACAGAGTTGTCATTAACACTTTTTTCTAAGGGCATCTCTAAAAAGAGCAGGCTCATTGCAAAAGAGCAGACTCATTGGAAAAGACCTTGATGCTGGAAAAGACTGAAGGCAAGAGTAGGAGCGTCAACAGAGGATGAGGCGGTTGGATGGCATCACCAACTCAATGGACATGAGTTTGCGCAAACTCCGGGAGATGGTGAAGGACAGGGAAGCCTGGCTGCTGAAGTCCATGGGGTCACAAAGAGTCAGACACAAATTAGCGACTGAACAACAACAAAAGTACTTAAAGGAGGCCTGGTTCATGGCAAATGCTAAATTTGTGCAAGTACAATGGTAAGTAAACCTTACTTAGGTGGCTGTTCTCATTCAAAGGGGAAATACGACAGGACTTACCTGGTAGTCCAGTGGCTAAGACTCCCAACGCTGGGGTCCTGGGTTCAATCAAGGAACTAGATCCCATATGCCACAACAAAGAGTTTGCATGCCCCACTAAGTATCCCTGTGTGCTGCAACTAAGACCCAGTGGGGCCAAATAAATAGATATTTAGAAAAAAACAAAAAACAAAAAAGAGGAAATAATGGGGATCCGCTTTTGCCTCATCTTCCAAAGTCAATGCCCTGAAGTCAATGTCTCTCATTTGCTTGTTTATGAAAAAAAAAAAAGAAAAGAAAAAAACCACCCAACCAAACACCTGAGCATTCCTCTGGGCAAAGCATCATGCTGGGTGGCAAAGATGTTGACTTCGGCAGCACGGGTTCTGCTCTAGGTAATGCTACCTGCTATCACTGTGAAAAGTTTGTTCTCTCTGAAAATCTTTCATTTCATTTTGACATGGGTAAAGATATTTAGAGACAAACCGAAATTTGATTAATCTAGTACTGACCTGATCTCATAAGAGTCTTGGAAAGGTTTATAGATATTACTAACCAACTTACTTGATTCATTCTCATTTTAGGTGACGTTTCACATTGGTAGGCAGGATGTTAGTCTTTAAAAAGTTTAACTATAGATTTTTTTTTTAATTAGAAAAGAAATATGTGCTTGTCACAGAAAATCTAAAAACTCAGATGAGCATAGGGAAAAAAATTTCACATTCTCACCACTCAGGCTCATCACAGTTCACCCTTTAGGTTATTTTACTACTCATTATATGTATTTGCCTACACCAGATCATTGGTTATCTATATATTTGAATATACTGATTAAAGTTTTGGGGGTAGGTTTTTCTGATACCCACTCATGCTAGAAATTTTTTAAATACAGGGGAGTGAAAAGGAAATTAAAACTGCCTCTGCTTGTATGGTAAGATACTTTCCATTCCTCCACCTCATTCAGCGAGGTGCTTCTAATATGAGCCTGTGTCCACTGGAGCATTTGTGGAAGAGGATAATTATTAGCCGTGGCCTTAGCCTCCAGCAGGGGCGGACTGTGGTCCAAGGAAGACGAGTTCCATGGGTTCCTGTTTGGGACCCCAGATGTCGGGCCTGTCCCATAAAAGCTGGTGGGTAGGTGCCACTGGACGTTCTCTGGCCTGATTTCTCCCTGATTTCTCTAATCACAGCAGGACAGTGGCTGAACTGGAACCAGCATCCCAACTTCTGTCTTTCAGGACTGTACCTTTGCCACTTGGCCTCCTCAGAAAGCCTGGCACACAGTGGGTCTTTAAGAAATGAAAATCAGTTGAATGAAAAAACAAACAAACAAAAAAACACCTGGAATCTCACCACCCAGAGACAAAACTGCTCCTAACATCATGTATCAAAAGTTGATTATGTATCGCAAGTTCTGATTTTCAGCACGGTTACCTGGGCACAGCCTGGGATTGATGATAGAATATCCTAAGACTTTTATGAGTACCCCCATCCTTCTTTAAAAAAGAAATGAATAAACCCCTGATGATTTGGGTCATTCAATACGTGCTTTAAAAGATATTTTCAAATGTTGGTGAGGTTTTTTTCCCCCTAATTATTATTTTGGTAGCTTATTTTAATGCTCACTCCATATTTCCCCCATGATTAATTAATAAGCAATCTAAGTATTGCCTAACTTTTTTTTGCTTTTTCATTTTTTTGGCCATGCCACGTGGCACATGGGGATCTTAGTTCTCTGACCAGGGATCAAACCAGCAACCCTGCACGAGAAGTGTGAAGTGCCAACCCCTGGACCACCAGGGAAGGCCCTTAATATTGCCCAAGTTTCTGTCTTACAATGAAGAAACGAAATAAGGCGGTGGGGGACGAGGCAGTGGAGACAAATTAAATGTTTCTTGTATATGAATACATATATGCAGAATCTAGAAAAATGGTATAGATGATCTTACTTGCAAGGCAGAAATAGAGACACAGACATAGAGAACACATGTATGGACATCAACGAGGGAAAGGGGAAAGGTGGGAGGAATTGGGAGACTGGGGTTGATTTATATACATTATTGATACCACACATAAAATAGATAACTAATGAGAACCTATTGCATAGCTCAGGGAACTCTACTGAGTACTCTGGGGTGACCTAAATGGTAAGGAAATGTAAAAATGAAGAGATATATGTACATGTATAACTGGTTCACTTTGCTGTACAGTAGAAACTAATATAACATTGTAAGGCAACTACACTCCAATAAAGTTTATTTTAAAGTTTTTTTTTGTTGAGGCTTTTTGGAGGTGGAAACCGTTGGGGCCCGGCCCTTGGCTTGGTTCCTTAGGTTTTGGGGTTGGAAGGGAGGCAGTGGGTGGCTGAGCGGCCCTCCCTACCCTGACTGGGTTTGCCCACGTCCCATCATTTGCTTCCTCCTGGCAAAGTTCTCTGCCAACACTGTGGCTCCTGGAACTTGGAGGGAGGGTCAGTTCTGACCCTCATCTGATCCTAAAGCCATCCAGTTAAGAACCCTGCTGTGCCCTGCACAAGCAACGGAGGGTTAACACAAGAACATACTCCTTGTAGGCTTTTGTGAAATCCTGCAAGATTTCTTTGCAGTTCACCATGGCATGTGGTTGGAAAGTTTCTCTAGTCAGTAATACAGATTTTGAAAGTTAATGATAAACACCTTCTCAAATGATCTTGAATTTAGCCATGCTAGCTAGCACTGATGCCCAGATACCTTTAAAGTCAATCATTTACCTGAAAGGGGGTCTCCAGTACTGTCTCGAAAGCCATTTTCTTCTCCCTTAAAAAACAAAAATGCAATCTTCATTAAAACCATACCCATATGTGATTAGAGATGTTATCAATTTTCCAATTTAGTTAAATTTCCACCAGAACCTGGGAGGGGGGTATGGATCTTAAGAATGGTACTTTACTGAGTAATAAGTCAGACAGAGAAATACAAATATCATATGATATTGCTTGTATGTGGCATTAAAAAAATGGTACAAATGAACTTATTTACAAAACAGAAATAGAGTCAGAGACATAGAAAACAAACTTACAGTTACTGGGGGGAAAAGAGAGAAGGGATAAATCAGGAGGTTGGAATTGACATGTTTACACCACTAAATATAAAATGGATAACTGGTAAGGACCTACTGTATAGCAGAGGGAACGCTGCCCAATACCTGGTAATGATGTATATGGGAAAACAATTTTTAAAAGAGTGGATATATGTATATGTGTAACAGTTCACTTTGCTGTACATATGTTAGTAGAAACTAACATAACTATCCTCCAATTAAATCAACTATCCTCCAATTAAAAAAAACAATATGGGTAGTGAATGATGTGTCTCTCCCTAGAATATAAACGCCCAGAGAGCAGGAGCCCTCGTCTATTTCTTCTCTGTGCTGGGCCCTCAGTGGTCAGAACAATGCCCAGCACACAACAGACACTCAACAAATGTTTGTTAAATTACTGTCATTTTTTAAAAGTATAAATGCATACCAGATGCTGTTTCTTTTTTTTAAATTTTACATTATGGACTATTTCCCGTGTTTTATTCTCTATCTGCTTTTTGTCGGGCTTGCTGTCCGTCAGTCCAAGTTATAATTCTTGCCTGTATCTGTTATACTTTTTGTTGTTGTTGTTCAGTTGCTAAGTCACAGAAGCAAAGAAAAACTGTTAGAAACAGTGACTAATTCCCTAGAAAAGCAATGAGTTTCTGCCCGCCTAGCTGAGGTTCTATTTTTACCAAGGCGGTGCTGCCTGGAGGGAGTTACCTGATCTCCTCGCAGGGTGTATGTGGCTCTTTTCAGTGGAGTCAGCAGAGGAGAATGACCCCAGTATATATCTGTTCATGTTAACTCTATGTTATTTCTTAAATTTTTATTTATTTATTTTGGCTGTGCTATGCGGCATGTGGGATCTTAGTTCCCTGATCAGGGATCGAACCTGCATCCCCTGCAGGGGAAGTGCAGAGTCTTAACTACTGAACCCCCAGGGAAAGCCCACATTAACTCTATCTACCTACAACTAAATCTCCCTCAGCAGCTAACGGTACCCCTTCCATCCACAGTAATGCAGAAGAAGCACTAAGAGTTGGCCCAAGGCCCCGGGTGTGGGTCCACCTGCATTCACAACCACAGGCACGTCACTCACCTGGAGTCAGAGCACTGGCCTCTGATTTCTCACTTGCATACTGAGGGGGCTGATAGATGACCTTATCCCTAAGAGGCTCTACACTCTCAGGTCTCTGAGAGTTTCACTTAAAGATGTGCTATCTCCCTAGTGTCAAACATTTTAAACAGTCTTTTTCTCGTAATCCCCTAGGAAGCCTTTCTCCTTGCTCTTGAGTTCATAAATTCCCAGGTTTCAGGGTTTCCCTAGTGGTTGAGCAGTTAAGACTCCTAGCTTCCACTGCAAGGGTCATGGGTTCAATCCCTGGTCTGGGAAGTAAGATCCCAAATGCCACAGGCTGTGGCCACAAACAAACAAATTTTATCCAAAACTAAAAGTCCATGTTTCTGCAGAATACAGACAGTGGGCTAATTACAAGCCTATTTTTTTTTCTTTTGAACAAGAAGCATCTCTGTGTCTTATCAGCTAGATTTTGTACCCTAACTCATCTATTTCTTGCTTTTGTTTGAATCCTGTTCCTTCTCACTGTCCTCACTAGGACAAAAAGCAACCTGTACACCAAACTGTATATACAGTTTATAAGAGTTATGGGCAGTCTCTAAAAGAACAAAAATTCCTCTCTCTACAACTTTTTATTTTTGCAAGACAAAACCCAGGAGCTCCACAACATTAAGGCCACTATTCACTGTTCACCGGGTCGTGTGGGGACCTGCCTCTTCCCATCTGTGAGCTCCAGCAGGACTGGGCAGGCTCACCCTCCCACCAGCACAGTCACGGTTATGCTCACTGAATTGGAAGCTTTCACGGAGGGAGCAGAAACCGGACCTTCAGCTAGTGTCAAGAGACACAAACATTAGCACTGGACAGATTTTTGTGGTACTGACGAGGTCCTGCTGAAGCATGGGCTGTTCTTTAAGAAAAGATGATGTTACATGGCCTGGCTGATTTGATTTCTCATCATCTGGAGAAAACATTACCAAACTCAGTGTCTGGCTAGGCTCACCCTGCTGATGTAGATGAGGGATAAGAGTCAGAATTACTTGTGACAGTTGATGGGGACACGATTTAGATTTTTGTTCTTTCACCCTGATTAGTATGTTGTGCTACTTTTAAAGTTGGGTTCCTAAGAGTGAAGTCAGAAGAGACTTATATTTTGTGGTTTCCAGGGTCTTACTGAAACCTCATTCGGCACCTCTTTTCTGAGTAGCTAGTAGGTACCAGCTCCTGTGGGGGAACCCATCTACAAAGGTAAAGGGACCTGAACCCTGACTGCAAGGCTCAGAGATGCTGGGGAAATAGAGACACACCAGACCAGCTAAAACATAAGGCAGAAGATGGTGCATTCTGATGGGGAGGAAAAGATCAAGTCAGAGGGGGGAGGTTTCTTCCAACCAAAACACATTCTGATTCTTCAAATCAGAGATGTCTGAGATGAGCCTTTTAGAAGGCCTGGAGAGTGGGGCATCAGGAGGAAAGCGCATTGAGCTAGAGGCCCATGGGAGCCCAAAAGGAAGTGAAAACACACAGGGCCCCTGCAGGGCATTTTGTCTGAAGCAAAGGCGTTGGGGAGGGGCGGGTGATGGAGGGAGATGAAATGGGAAGACGGGCTGAGGTCTGAGACCTGGTTTCAGGCAATGGGAGTCACAAAGAGGCTATCATCAGAACCTGGGAATCCTTGGAGCTGTCGAGGGTCAGAGTAGGAACACCTACCCAACTGTAGGAGGCAGGGACACGTGGGCAGCCAGGAGATCTGATGAGGGGAAGCATGACTGGCTCAAAGGCAAGGATTAGGAGGTCTCCATACCACTGCTTTGGGAGAGGAAGGGATAAAGCTAGAGCCACGGCAAGGATACGGCCAGCGTGGGGGCGGGTGAGTGGAAGTGAGACGAAGAGCGAGTCCAGAAGATATGACGGATGAGACCACAAGAGCTTGGGGGCAACTGAAGACAGTGCTGGTCCTCGGGAGAGGCTGGGCCAGGAGACTAAGACGCGGATGCTGGGAGAAAAGTCAGGCAGTGGAGGGCACGTGGTGAAGTCTCAACTCCGAGGAACACCCAGTAGCAAGGGAGGGAATGAGAAAGGAGGGAAGTCAGGGGGGAGGAGAGAAGCGGTCCAGGGCCACAGGAAGACATGGTCTGGCAAGGAGAGGAGCAGGTTCTGAGAGCAGCGCTAGCAGCTTCTGCCAGGCGGGCAGTGAGGATGTGGGGAATCCTCTCCCCCACCCCTCCTTGCTGCTTCACTTCCTCTGGCCTTCAAGGCCTCAGCTTAGGCATCACCAACTCGAGGAAGCTGTCCAAGCTCACCATCAGGGTGATGTGCCCTGGGTACTCCTAGAGCCTTCTGGACCTGAATGACCTTGGTGCCACACAGGGTCAGTACCAATAATCCTCAGGGGAGAGCCTGGTGGTGGGAACCTAAGCAAAGTGCAGCTCTAGGGACAGGAGTCCAGGGCCGAGGAGCTGTGACTCGGGCACGGAGGCCGGCCCTGCAGCATCCTGGGGGCGCTGAGTCCAGGTCGGAGGGTATGAGTGCAGCTGAGCACGCGCTGATCCGGGAACAGAGGACAGAGTCGCGGGTCAGAGCAGCAGTGGGCTTAGCTGTGAGCATCGAAGAATGGCAGGGGACAGGAAACAAGGGCTTAATCCTCTTTTTTTCATGTCTGTCCCTTACCCTCCAAGGGATCCTAGCCCTGGGTCTTTTCTGAGCCAACTCCTGAAACCAGTTCCTCCATTCTGCTCCTTCCTCCTTCTGAACTTCTCGATGGCTGACTTCGGCTGAGTGCATACTATGTCCCAGGCAGATGACACTTTTTTTGGGGGGGGCGGGCATGAGGCATGCGGGACTGTAGTTCCCTGACCAGGGATCGAACTCATGCCGCCTGCATTCAGAGTGTGGAGTCTTAACCACTGGACCGCCAGGGAAGTCATCCCCAGGCCGATAATCTTCATTGGGTTAGCTCATTTCCTTCTCCAGATGCTGAGGAGCTGAGAACCACCACATGCAAATGATGAAACACTGCAGATTTCTGTTTGGAGGATTTGTTTTAATTCTGAGTGAGGTTCAAGTGCAATGCATTGGTTTTGTGGAAGAGAATAGTTTCTGGATACCATAGGGTCTGTGTGGCAAAGGGAAATGGTCTAGATAAGAAAAAAGGTAGAAATGACCTAAATGTCCATAGACAGATAACTGGATTAACAAAATGTGGAATATTATTCAGCCTTAAAAAGGAAGGGAATTCTGACATGCTAGAATAAGGATGAACCTTTATTCCATGCTAAGTGAAATAAGCCAGTCACAGGTGGACAATACTATATGATTCCATTTATATGGGTCACCTAGAGGAGTTAAATTCAGAGACAGAAAGTAAAATAACGATTACCAGAGGGTGGGGCAAGGGTGAATGGAGAGTTGGTGTTTAACAGGTGTAGAGTTTCAGTTTGGGAAGATGAAAAAGCTCTTCAGATGGATGGTGGTGATGGCTGCACAACAGCATCATTGTACTTAACGCCTTTGAACTGTACACCTAAAAATGGTCAAGATGGTAAACACCGTATGTGTATTTTACCACTTAAAAATTTTAAAATATCTCCTTAGGAAATCTGAAGGTAACCACAAAACTGAACACCAGTGTTGTATAAATTCAAGCCGGCTAAAGAA